AGATTTGTTTGTTTCATCCTGCTTTTTTATTTTATTTGGTTGTATCTGAGCAGGAGGGCTGTGTGTTCTTTGTTGTTTGCTGGGCTGTAGACATGATATTTTTTTACCTCCTTGTCAAATGGACAGGGCTAGTTACTCAGCTATGGTGCTGCAGGGCAGGTCTAGCTGAAGGAGACAGGCTGGGATGGGTTGTTTGTAGCATGTATTGGGGCTGACAAGGTGAGCCAGGGGTTATTGCAGGGCAGGTTCAAGTAGGCTGTGCCTGTGCTTCTTGGGAGTGCAATGTTCAGCACATGGTGCAGATAGGCAGGAAGGAGGGGGAGGGTAAGGTTGTGATGTATAGAGCTAGGTTGGGTATGGGAAAGAAAAGAGAGAGGAGAGGGAAACAGGAGCCAAGAAAAAAGAAAAAATGCTGCAGGAGCCTACCGTTGGAGTGGAGAGATGAGAAACTGAGAAATTAAGAAAAACAAAAAGGAAAAAAGAAATAAAATTTTAAAAAGTGCCCCCAGGGATCCCACTGGTGTGGTGGTGCAGACCAAGGAAGCAGCTCCTAAGCTGAGCAGTATAGCCTGGCTAGAAGGGGTGGAGATGATACACAGCACTAGCTATTCAGGGGACAGGAAAAAAAGGTAAGTAGAAAGAGATGAAAAAATGAGAAATGAAGAAAAATAAAAAGGAAAAAAGAAAGAGAAAACAAACTTGGTGGCACAGACTGGGGAAACAGTTCTCCAGCCAAGTGGCACTTCACTGCCTGTCAAGAAGAAGCAAAGATGGCACACGGAGTCAGGTGTTCAAGAGAAAGGAGGGGAAGGAGGTGAGAGACAGGGAAGAAACTAAAAGAGGCCAAAAAAAGGAACACCAGCAACAAAGAAATGGCAGTGAAGAAGCCGGCTTGTGTGGATGGGGTGAATCTGAGTGGCATGCAACCGGCGCCTCCCATGCCACGGTCTTGGCCTGCTGGAAAGCGGCGGATCAGCCTGCCGGCAAGCCTCAGATCAGCTGGGAAATGGCAAAGGCTGAGCAGGGGGAGGCAAAGTGGGGGATGGGGAAGCGTGTCTTGCTGGTTACCAGGTGCTCTGTCTCCTGCTGGGAGCACCATGAATCTGCTTTCCAGTACTCTTTCCGCCAGTCTCCTAGAGGAGTCCAAGATGGTGGATACATGCTGTGTTAGCAGATAGGGGATCTCTGCTCATAACTCTCCTCACTCTCTGTTCTCTTCAGTTTCTTATTCCATTCGGTGCTTGGTTGAGTTCTTTATCTCTTCTTTTGACACTCGGGGTTCCAGGATTGATGTTTGTCTCTGTTTTACTTAGTTTTTCAGGTCTTTGCTGTGGAAGAACAGCATGGTGCTTCTGTCTATAGTGCTACGTTGACTCCGCCTCACCACCTCTTTCCTGTTCCTATGCATTTGTTAAGAATTTGTTGTTCTCTGCAGAGGGTACACATTCAAATAATTCACAGTTTCTACATGCAGTGACCATACACTGGAGAAAGGCACAGATCCCTGGCATTTATTTCACATTCCTGAAGGCGGCTTATTTTTCTCATTACTCTGGAATACTCAGGGTACACATCTCACCCCATCACTTCCCTCTAGTTCCCCATAGTTGGCCTTCCTGTGTGGGGCTTACGACACCTGCATTTGAGAGGAGGCAAGGACAAAGGCTGTTTGAATTTATGGATCATTATGGGGAGAACAGAACCAGGGGATATTGTGTGGTTTAAATCAGGAAAGGTGTGCATCAGTGTTGTATCCTTTCACCATACTTATTCAGTCTGTATGCTGAGCAAATAATCCAAGAAGCTGGCCTATATGAAGAAGAGCAGGGCATCAGGATTGGAGGAAAACTCATTAACAACTGAGATATGCAGATGACACAACCTTGCTTGCTGAAAGTGAACTGGAAGCACTTACTGATGAAGATCAAAGATTACAGCCTTCAGTATGGTTTACACCTCAACATAAAGAAAACAAAAATCCTCACGACTGGACCAATAAGCAACATCATGATAAATGGAGAAAAGATTGAAGTTGTCAAGGGTTTCATTTTACTTGGATCCACAATCAAACCCCATGGAAGCAGCAGTCAAGAAATCAAATAATGCATTGCATTGGGCAAATCTGCTGCAAAAGACTTCTTTAAAGCGTGAAATAGCAAAGATGTCACTTTAAGAACTAAGATGCGCCTGAGCAAAGCCATAGAATTTTCAATCGCCTCATATGTATGTGAAAGCTGACAATGAATAAGGAAGATCAAAGAAGAATTGACACTTTGAATTATGGTGTTGGTGAAGAATATTGAGTATACCATGGATTGCCAAAAGAACGAACGAATCTGTCTTGGAAGAAGTACAGTCAGAATGCTCCTTAGAAGCAAAGATGGCGAGACTTTGTCTCACATACTTTGGACATGTTATCAGGGGGGATCAGTCTCTGGAGAAGGGCAACATGCTTATAGAGGGTCAGCAAAAAAGAAGAAGACCCTCAATGAGATGAATTGACACAGTGACTACAACAATGGGCTCAAGCATAACAATGATCGTGAAGATGGAGCAGGATTGGGCAGTGTTTTGTTCTGTTGTACATAGGGTCACTATGAGTCAAAACAGACTCAATGGCACCTAACAATTACATGGGGATAAGGGGCGTCTCCCCCAGTGCCGAGTTTCCCTACTTCTATGAGTCTGGGTTCAGCCAAGGAAGCGGGAGTAGGAGATAAATATGAATGGATTTATTGCAAGGAATTGGCTCACACAGTTGTGGAGGACTGATACGCAGTTCCAAAATCTATAAGGTAAGTCCTCAGGAAGGGTGGACAGGAACTCTCAGGCGAAGCCTGAAGCTGCTCCAAAGGCGAAATTTCTTCGTCATCTCAGGGAGCCTGCACTCTGGTAAGCCCTTAACTGACTGACTCAGGCCCGCTTTTGAGCAATAGTCTCAGGTACTTGATATTTTGTTGTTATTGTAAATTTTTTTAATTATGTTTTTAACCTTTTGGGAATATAGAAATTTGATTAATATTGGTATTTTATTGATAATATAGTCAGCCTCTTTTTAAACTCTCACTGTTGTTAATAATTTGTAGATTGTGTTTTCATTTCTTTCAGCTATGAATGATGACAGTTTTTTATCACCCTTCCGTTCCTCAGATAGTTACTTCCTTTCTTTTCTTGTGCTGTCTGGGACTTCAATTCACCAGTGTGTTCAGTAGAAGCAGTAACGTCAGACGTTCTCTTTGTATTCTGATGCTTCCAAGTGTCCCCATTAAGGCTGATGTTTGCTCTGGGATTTATAATGTTTTAGGTTGCTGGTTGTAAAGGGCTATAATGAGGACGTTAACCCGAATGTGGCATTTTCCCCTGACAGATAGCTGTGAGGAGCCTCTGCTGTCTGCCCTTCCTCCCTCATCCTTCAGCAGTTCCTCGGAGCTGTCCAGCAGCCACAGCCCTGGATTTGCGCGGCTCAACCGACGAGATGGTGAGTTGCTTTTTATCTCTCACTGACCCATGGTGGAGCTCACTAATTTTCAACAATTCTTGCATTTCTCTTAAGAAAGTATTATAAGTGACTGAGTGATCCACTGCACGAAAATTAAAATTTCAAATATATACTTATACAGATTTCCTGGAATGCTTCTGTTTGAAACGTGTGCTGTGTAAACATTATCTATCCATAGATTGCCATTACTGGCAATGCTGTTTTCTCTCTGCACAGAGGACAGAAGCTGATCATACACATGTTTAAGCATCTCATATGACCATCTCAACATGCAAATATTTAAATGCCTTTGAGTATGCTGAGTTCTTTTATATATCTTGGAAAATATTTTTTTTTCTATCACATGTGTACAGTTTTTATGGGCACATTAGCCCTGACTGTTTAATTATTCTTCTTTTTCAACTTGAACAAAGAAGTTGGAAAGTGTATTGGTTTCCTGTTGCTGCTATAACAGATTACCACATATTTAGTGGCTTGAATTTATTATGTTATAGTTCTGGAGGTCAGAGTCTGATATAGGTCTCACTGGGAAAAAAATCAAGGTGCTGGCAAGGTTACATTCCTTTTTGGAGGTTCTAGAGGAGAAGCTGTTTTCTTGCCTTTTCCAGCTTCTATAGGCTGCCTGAAGTCCTTGGCTTGTGGCCCCGCCTCTGTCTTCAAAGTCAGCATGTCTGTAGGGTCTTTCTCTCAATATCATTTCTCTGGTTCAGAGTCTCCTGTCTTCTTTTTTCTAACTTTGTTTAAAGTTGATGCAGACAACAGACTGTTAAGTTGCTATGGATAAAGGAAAGAACCACAAAACTGTGCACCCGGGGGAAGGCGTGCCTGTGACCCTTGCCATGCAATACTTAGGAGAAAAGTTGGTGCATACATTCCAGGGAAAGAGAACTGGTGCAGTTTACATGGAAAGTACTTATAGAAACAACAACCATATAAAAAGACCTTAGAATGGTATATTACGTGCTTCAGTACCTTTTTCCTTTAATCACCTTCTATGAATTTTATTTCTAACTTCTTATTCCCCTCAAGAGTTGACCACATTTATCACTGTGAACTTTGGCCAACCCAAAAAGATATACCTTATATCTGATGTTTTAGGCATTTTAGATTTCATGATAGATAGACGGATGGAGGGAAGGACGGATGGACAGACAGACAGACAAGTGGATAGACAGATAGATAGACAGATACAGACAGATATTTCAAACATAGTGCTTGTTATAATACAGATGTTTAGAAATGTTATGACACATCATTTTATACTTATTTAAATTTTCAAATGTAAAACTTCATTTCATTTCACTATTTAAGGTGGTAAAATGTAGGGAATGTACAAATGTAGGGAACATTTAGGTGCTTGCAAATGCTGCACAGTTAAGTTTGCCTCCTATTTAATTGCTTTCTGGCATGTGTAATCAGTCACATCACTGAGTCCTCTGTAACAAGCAGGTTTTGAGGAGCCAGTATGAAGCCTTGACTGACCACAGGCCTGAAAGGCCAGCACACCCTCTGGTGTTTCTGCCTGGTTTCTGCAAGCCCCTCCTTCAGAGCTGCTCAGCCTCAGCACACACCTCCTGGCTGGACCCATCTGGACTTTCTTCTCGAGATGCCACAATTCACAGGGTGGGGCCTTGAAACCAAGGGCATCTCAGTGAGGCCAGAAGACCCCATGAACACCACATCAAGGAGCACTTGCCTCTGAGCCTCCAGCCTCACCCCACCACCTCGTCAGCCTCTCCCTTCCCTCAATTTTGACCCTGGCAGTCAGGGTACAGCCATGCTTTATGCCTCAACCCACTAAATCACAGGGATTACAGCCACAGTAGAAATCTTTGTTTAGAAATGTGCCCAAACGAGCTATTACATGCATGCCTTATTTGGGGGCTTTTTAAATTTTCTTCAAAGAATATTTATTTGAGCTCTATTACATCTGAATTTCTATATCTCTCTCAGAGTAGATTAGTATTATCCCTGAAAAAACAAAGGCGAGATTAGATTAGAGCCTCATTCTAAGGCTCAGCTCAATTTATGCAAAACTGTCACAGTAAGGAAAAGGGAATTTTTTGTGTCAATAAAATACAGTTAAAAAAAAAAAAAGAAATATTTTAGGAAAATTCACTGCTCATTCTCATTTGAGCCCTAATCATTTTACGCATTTTAGGAGGAACATTTTTCTTCTGAAAGTAGCGTAGATTTTACATTTCAATCCATTACTATCCAAGAGTTCAGTTTGTGCAATGAAAAGAGAAAACATGATTAAATCACTGAATTTACCGTCAGTTTATCTATATAAGTTTAATGATTGACAAAGTGTAGATTTGTTGTTGGAGGATAAAATCGTATTTCCCACTAATGTACACAACAAGCATCCAAATTCTTCATCAGTGGAAATCATTCTAATTATTTATTTTCCTATAACTCATAATGAAGCAAGATATCAACCTTAATGAATTTATATGCATGTTAATTAAGTTTAAAATGGCCCATTTTAATCATCTTTTACTTGTTAATTCATTGTTTTTTGTTGATTTTTATATTTTTCCCCTCCCTACTGAGAGCCTGCAGCAATCACAAAGGAATTGCAAATTGAGAGTGAATTATTGAAGGCTATAGAGTATTCCTATTGTCTTAACATTTCTAATTAGATTTGGATCAGGCTGTGAAGGATGGCTAGACAAGGGATCTGAACGTGAATAACTATACCAATAAGTAAATTACCCAGAGTCAGAAACACATGAAACATTAGCCTTCCTGCCGGGAGTCTGGAAACTCACAGCTAAGAGGAGCGGGAGAAAACAAGTAGTTTCCTGATCAGACAACTCACAGCATTCACATCTATGTCCTAGGTTGAGGTCTGGGCAGTTCTCTGATAATAACTAACACCCGTCGAGTTGGGGGAGAGCAAAGAAGGCAGGGGTGCAGAAGGAAACAAGCACATGCTGTTTGGCAGTGGACGTCTTGGATACCTCAGGCTGTCCTCCCTGAATGTCGCTCCAGTGGGCTGCAGGGACAATTACTCTTTGAACACAGTGGCTTACAACATTTTCACTGGTAGAGGAAATTCAGTTTGTCCACAAGAGTTTTCATAGTTTGGGAAGAATAACCGAAAATTGCCAGACACCATAACAATGCCTCAGTGACTTACCAGCAATGTTGTAATGGGGTTGAATGTTCCTCTTCCTTCAGCTGCTATTTCCCTACACAGAGCTTAGGAATTGTTTGAATTTTACTGTATCTCCTTAAATAAATTGTGTGCTGGTCTTTTACCATAAGCAACATAGTTAATCAGGCAGACGCTTTGCTCTAACAAGTGAAATGATTTCAGGGCTGAAATTACAGCAGTACAGGCTCACACCGACGAGGCAGCTGAAGTGGCAACATAATCTATATCTTTGAGACATTTCTGTGCACGCACTATTTGCATGAACAGCAAAGAAAACAGTGAAGAAACTCTTCTTTCACAAGACGAGTGTATAGCTCCTTCCAGAGCCAACACATGGCTATCTCTAATTCTCATTCATCTACTGAAAAGGATAAAATAATCCTCTTTTGGTTAAAAGAGGATACCTGCATGGGTCCACTCACTGCCACCTAGCTGTGGGCTGCTTGGTCCTCTGGTAGAAGGATACTTCTGGATACTTCCAGAATACAGGAAGATGGGATGGACCTCTTAAATTCTGTTGACAAGGTGGCCCTAGGGCAAGTCTCCAACCCACTCTTGGCTCCCAACAACCTGTTTTATGGGCCAGAGGTAGGAGGTTGGCACAACCAAATGTTAACTTCTCAGTTTGCTGGTGTTGCAAATGGTTAACACGGTTGGCTGCTAACTAAAATGTTGGCAGTTTGAGTCCATCCATAGGTAACTTGGAAGAAAGATCTGGCAATCTATTTTTGAAAAATTAGTCATTCCAAAACCCTATGGATCACAGTTCTACTCGGACATACATGGGGTCACCATGAGTCAGAGCTGACCCAATGGTAACTGGTTGGTTAATTTGTTGGTTTGCTATGGTAGCCTCCCACCTCACTTCTGAATGTGGGAATAGTTGACAAATACTGTCTTGGGGTCTCAGCTGAGCAGAGACTGGAAGTGCCTCATGTTATAGCCTGTAAAATGTTTAAACAATCTTAGGAAATACTTGTGGTTACTTTACAGTCGGCCAAGAACAATTGGATAGATTTAATTTAGCACTCTGTCTGCCACATATAGAAACAGAAGAACACTTTCAACTGTTTGTACTAAATTTAAAAGAGAACTTTTTAAAAATGATCTGTTCATGAAAAGAGGAATGAGGGAAATGTGTGTTTCCATACAGTTTGGATTTATCACAGCACCATGAAGGCAGATCTCTAACAAGCGGTCTGTGCATGTCCGGGTGCTACGGTGACCCTCTCTCTAGGGCAGTGGAACCTGCTGAGGCCAGAAGATGCCTCGTGGATAGGATGTTGACACATAGTGTAAGTTTTGAGTCTGAAGACCTTGAGATAAATGTCTCAATGACATTTATCTCTTAAAAGGAGATAAATCTGGAAGCAGCACTAAGACGAGAGCTTAGGTTTCACAAACCAATGGTCCAAGAGCATCAGCTGGCCAAGCAGGGGTGCTCTCCAGCTCATCACAGTCCCCACCCACTCACCTGCCTGTAGCCTATTCACCTGCTTCACACACTCACTTTCCCTGGCAGGCCCAAGAAGACATTTGAATTTGAGACCCTTACCCTTGATGATATCATTGAGACAAAGTGTAGCCTGAGTAAGCTAGAACTCTAAGCACAAGAGGACAGTGATTTGGGTTTAATGTAACATTTTACATTTATTTCACAAATCAATAGCAGAGAAAGATCCACCTTCACCAATACTGACTAGATACACCCTCCACCAATAATTATGAGAAAAGTCAGAAAAATATTCTGAAGATATTGGAGAGCAACCAAGGCAAAGGGGACCCAGATCAAGGCATGGAGACCCAGACCAAGGCA